CTATATATATATATATATCTATATGTCATATACTTCTAAATACATATTTATTATATATATATATATAAAATTTCATAAATGGAAGAGTGACATATCGTTAAAACGCCTCGGGTTTGCCAAATATACGTATGACGTGTATTACGCACAGAGACACGTTGACATTTAGCATTTGTTTTAAATATTCATCCGCCCGCGACGCGACGTGGGAGCTTCGCATACAAAGTTCGCGCGAGACTCGCCCCCGTTATCGCTCGCGATAACTCCAACGACTTCGATTATCGATGTCGCGGCGAGTACTCGCGGTCCGTCTGGCACTGGTTTCAAGACGAACTTACGCGGAACGGAGCGAAGACGTCGCGTTTTTGAATCTCCGTAGGAATACGGAACGTGAGGTAAACCGCCGGTCGCGTGCGAGGAATCCCCGAATTCGCGCGCCATCGGGTCGACGCGCATAGCCGCCCGTCTTCTCGCCGCACGGTACCTTCTCTTCTTTCTAGGATTTCCCCGGGAACCACGTAAAACGTTATCACATGGGAAAGACGGCCAGCGAACGTCAACGATCAATAGTGTCACGAAAATGACTTGGTGACTCATATACCGGGAGTTTAGCACGAATCATGGTGTCCAGGGATAACGAGAGGCTGTTGCCCGAGCCTGAGAGCTACGCAAAATGTTTTTACGATCTCTTCAAGAACGTCGCCGAGGCACAAAGGTGCGAAAGTGCCTTTCGTATAACCTCTTCTCTCCCGTGATTTGTTTACCTGACATTGACATTGTGGTGATCAGTTTCGGTTGTATGATCGGTCGACACTTGAGTGAAATTGCATAATTTTCGTTTCCGATTGAAAGAAATTTTTAATTGACACGGCCGTTGATTGAACTTTCATTGTATATGCGTTTTATCGGTGTAGAACGTAACCTCAAACTTTTTGTTTATTAAGATCTATTTTGCGTATTTATTTGGTTTTCTCTATTGAATGGTTTAGTCATTTCGTTAAGTATTTAACTATAATATTAAAATTTTTAGTCGTGTATTTAAAGTAAATCATTTAAGTTGTTCACAAATAGAATAGAATATTTTTATGATTGCAAAATGATTTATTATATTTATTTATTTATTGTAAAACAATTTTATTGTAATTAGACTAGTAGAAAAATAGTATAAACAGTATTATAAATATATACTAAAATCTACTTGATTCTATGTATATAAATTAATTTAAATAAAAAATTGATTTATAATATCTTTTAGAAATAAGGGAGAATGGAGAAAATGTAAAAAGAATAAAACTATTCGTAAACGAGACAAAAAAAAGGTAATAATTGTAATAATTTTTTGTTTTCTGATCTGGAATAAAATGTATTCTAATATAGTTTTTATATGTATACAGGTTGATCTAAATGGTGAATTAAATTACAATAGTCCACCAGAGATAGAAGCATCTTGTAATGCTTCAGCATTTGCTGTATTTGCTAGTGTGAGAAGTGCTATTTTAGAAAAACATGCAAAATTGTCAAGTGAAATTTATAGAGCATCCAACTGTAACTCTCCGCCACCAGAACTTAGCGACACTATAGATACAGAAAGTGACGATGAGGATAGGATATCAACTATACAAAATTTACCAAAGGTAAAAGAAAGACGAAATTAATTTCTTCAATTTTGTTTTCTATATATTAGTGTAATATCTTACTTATCTACCTATCCAATATTTTTGTATGTTTTATTTATGTATAATATGTATATTTTATATAATATTTAATATATGTAGTTATAAGAAAATTTTTTTGATAGATTGTAGGTATCGGTCTAAGAAGTGTTTTTACATTGATGCGGGAAAGTAGAACAATCGATCCAATCTTATGTACAAAGGCATTGTCAGCTTTGTTGGATGTTTTACAAGGGCAACTACCAGAAGGTCTCAAGTCTGAACCAGATGATGTTATTGGTTTGTATCTTTGAATAATTGAGGTTTTTAATTGACAATTTGACAAATTTCTTAATAAGTTATTTTTTTTAGATCCATTATTTGATCTGTTACTGGATCTTGCGACTTCTCATGGTCCTGAATCAGCCGCTGCCAATGATGGCAGTCACTTGACAGCTGTAGCTTGTGCTTGTTTATTGAGTCTTGTTGTAGTTAGAGGAGATACTGGGCGGCTGCTAGCAGCAATAGCGGCATTGCTTATGTCTCCGAGAGCGTTAGCAGTACAAAATATTCAGGTATTATTAACATAGCCAACTTGCTATTACATTATTTTTTGCATGATATATATAATATATGATATATATGATATGAAGTTTAATTTTTAATCTTTTAGATGCCATGTGTATTGACGTCTCTACAGAGAAGTGTTCACGCTGTTTTGTTAGGCAAACTCATGAGACCAGATTGGATTACATATGGTGTTCCTAAGTGTTCTAGGATATATACCTCTATGCTTAAGTTACCAAATGAAATGAATAATATGGTACTGAATGAACGTAGTTTTGTGAGTGATGGAAAGTATTTATATCTGCATACATCTCGTGGTTTATTGAAAATTGGAAGTGGCCACAGTGGCACAATTTGGGGGCACATATATATACATAAAGCAGATTTTTATCCAACAGAAATAGGATGGCTTGGTTATGCTAATGTTAGTAGTATTTTAATATTTACAATTGTACGATAATAAATAATATTTTATTTACACAAACTTTACTTGCAGAATTCATTATACTTTAAATGTGCACCTAGAAAACAAAGTGAGCTATTGATTATCGATGCAGAAACGCTTATTGTAACGGGAATTGCTGTGTTGGAAGGAAAAGATTGGTCATCATCCGTCATGTTTTCCGATGGCGAAAATTTAGGAATGATAACAGCTGGCAAGGATGTAATTATTGTTATTATGTAACAATATTGTATTCTTATTTAAAATATTTATTTAACCCATTTAACTTTTTTTTTCAATAGGAAGGTTTCGTAGTACGAACGATAAATACGCTGAGTAATCCTGTAACAGTTGCATCCGAGCTACCACTAAAATTGGCAAGGAAATGTGTAGATATATTCGGATATGCAACATTTGATGAAGAACAAGCAATACATACTTTGAATCCGGGATGCGATGATGAAATTGCAATGGTTACAGCGGGAAAAGAATTTGGTTTACTGAAAACAGTATCTGGAAAAGTAAGTATTTTGTTAAAAATATATTTATTGTTATAATTGCTCAGTGTTTTATGTACAATAATATATTTAATTATAATAATATATTTGGTTTGATTTTTAATCTAATTTTAATTTTTAATAGTTATTATATAGTGGAAAAGGAACTTGCTTAGGCATGAAGAGCAATACGAGACCTAACAGGTGGTTGGAACTTACTTTTGGTAAAGGTCCAAGGATAATGCAATTTGCAACAGGTCATGATGGCCAACATATTATCATGGTTATGGAAGATGGTTCTGTACTGTTTGCTGGTACTGCTAGACGTGGAGAAGATGGAGATAGTAGTAAGTTTTCTATACAGATATTATAATATTTTAATTTATAGTAACAATAATGCTATAATTATTTTATTTTATCCTAAGATAAAGCTCGTAGACAACCAAAACCGGTAAAACCAAAGAAAATGGCAAAAGTGGAAGGTCAGTTTATTATGGATGCTGCGTGTAACAATGGATCTACCGCTTTAGTCACAAAAGATGGCTCTCTATTAATGTTTGGTAAAGATACGCTGCATAGTGATCCAGTGACGGGTCTAGTTACCGATTTAAGAGATGTGTGTATAGTTCGCGTGTCATTAGGAAAGGCTCACGCCGCTGCGTTAACTAATAAAGGACATCTATATACATTTGGTATAAATAATAAGGGACAATGTGGTCGTGATTCTACAACGGTGCATACCGTAAATAAGGAAATGTCAGTAGTTGCGATGGAAATGGGTACAGGGGAAGATGAATTAATAATAGCCGAGGAGGAAAGTGTTGATCCCACGGAAGATTGGGAAGAGACAAGAGGGATGTGCCCTCCGGGACAACATCAATGGAGGCATCGCGTTTGTATGGTTTGCACGATATGCAGAGAATGTACCGGCTATAGCATATCGTGCCTGAGTAGCATACGTCCCGATCGGAATCCCGGTCAAGAATGTGGATGCGGCGAAGGAGACAGCGGATGCGCGGAATGTGGATGTTGTCGTACGTGCGCAAGAAAGAGTTGTAGCAATGGCATATCAGGTTCCAACTTCCGAGAATATCTGCAAAGACGATTGGGTGAGATAAAGCAACGGCAGCGGAGCAAAGCAGGACCGAGTACCGTCAAATATGGAGTAAAAACTAAGGGATCGAATAATCAACGTGTAGCTGGTCCTAGTATCGCACAAAAGGGATTTCCAGAAAAAGTGGCATTGGGATTGGGCGTTAATCTCGCGGTTGAGGAAGGCATCGGCGGTAGCGATGTAGAACGAGGGGATGCGGCGAGGATTGCTAGTATCTCACCAGCCAGAGTCCCTATTCCTAGTGAAAGTCCTGTGATTCAAGTGTCCTGTGGTTTGCATCACACGGTGTTACTTTTGCAAAATGGAGAAGTGTATACATTTGGTAGTAATATATATGGTCAGTTAGGCGTTGGAGATTTAGTGGCACATGCAGGACCGGTACAAGTTAAATTACCAACTATTGCTATCCAAGTAGCAGCTGGGAGCAATCATACTGTAATACTCACATCAAAGGGTGAAGTTTATACGTTCGGTGCATATCAAAAGGGACAACTCGGCATGAATTGGTGGAATGGTCAGAACGAGTCTACAAACACTTCTCTAAATCGTCGTGCTGATCGTTCTCAACCATGGCATAGCTTTCCAAATGTAGTGCCAAATATTGGTCCTCGATGGGGTAGACGAGCGACGTGGATCGGTGCCGCCGGAGATCAAACTTATGTTAAGATAGATGAAATAAATTCGATTAGTTTGACGAAGAGTACCGTTATGGCGAATAAAAATTGTATTATCTTGATACCTCATCAGAATGAGCACGCGAATTCTTTTAAAAGTTTGGTGATAAGCAAACGCGATGGAACTTGCAACAGTTATAGTGGCGCGGATCAAGTTGATTTCAGTAATTGCGCGACGTGCTTGGATCCTTTGTACAATGTTATTTGGACTTTTAATTCGACGAATAACGAAATAAGCTTGTACAATATAATATCGACGGAAGCTAGAGCGATACCTGGTTTGGAAGCTTCTATTCTTAATCCAGGTTTGGCGCTTCCAATTGTTTCGACTTGTTTCGTAACGCGCTCACAAGCTGCAATGCATTTATTAGCTTGTTTGGATACATTGACACAGGCACAAGATGAAAACTTATTGATAGTCGAAGAAAACGAATGTAATCAATCGACACACGGTAAAGTGTACAGTCGTGAAGATTACGCCACTGTTAGCAGATTCGAAAGTCACGGAGGAGGATGGGGTTATTCTGCCCATTCCATTGAAGCAATCAGATTTATGCCTGATACAGACATTATATTGGGAGGGTATGGTTTATTTGGTGGTCGGGGTGAATACACTGCGAAGATAAAGCTATTTGATATTGGAATTGATGGTGGAGATCAAGAGAACGATGGTGAACTTCTCGCAGAGACAGAAGAGATTCCATATGAATGCGGCCCAAGACAGAAGTATTCGATATTGTTTGACGAACCTATATCCCTGCAGGCGAATAGATGGTATGTAGCATGGGCTAAAGTCGGTGGACCTTCCAGTGATTGTGGTTCCGGTGGACAAGGAATGGTCACAGCAGAAGATCAAGTCATGTTTTATTTCAAGTCTTCTAAAAGATCTAATAATGGCACTGACGTTAACGCTGGACAGATTCCACAATTATTGTATCGCGTCATTACACCTGAAAATCAAACATCAAATAGACAGAGAGACCAAATTGAACCCGTTTACGTCTTGAAGAGGGAATTCAGTAGAACCGTCACGAAGGAGTGCTTTCAATCTTTGATATCTCTCCTTCAATGGAGTTGGAACACATTGAAAACGACGTTGGCTGATGTGACTGTTCATATTGCGTCGTCAACTCACGCAATGCTTGAAATGGAACGATTGGTGTACATAAGCAAAGCTAGTTTAAGACTACTTAGAACATACACCAATGAAATTTATCCTAACCACGTCGTTAAGAAGACTCCTCCCGAATCCGTACGTTTGGCGGAGTGTATAGGTGAAGTCCGAGCATTGTTGCGTCAAATTTTGTCTGATTCTTTGCCGATTACTTTGAAAAGTAAAGGAAAGACGCGGTCTAACAAAAGTTCTAGTAGTACTTTGGGAAATAAGATGACAAGTAGCATACTGGATGAATGTCACAAAACATTTGTAGCTTGTTATCATGCATTTTATCCTACTGCATATCTTAAATGGACCTCCTTATGCGAATTATTATCAGATATCGATAAAGAACAAGGTACAACTACAAAAGATCGTCTTCTTTCGGCAGTGCTAGCTTCTTTATGCAATTCGGCAATACGGCTTAGGTGCACATTTCCAATCTTAAACAACATTATGGACAACAATGACAGCGTGAAACGGCAGCTTAGCCCATCCGACAATGCCGGTCTGCTTATGATGAATTCGACGGAAACTCATCAGTATCCAATTTTGGTTGAGCAAATTAGCTACAAATCTCAAGTAGAAAGCTCTGGCAAAGAAATTTTGAATTGGTCATTCCGTGAAGTACTTGATAGATTGTTAGATTTGATATTGATACCGGTTAAAAGAAACCTTTGTAGAGAGAAGACTCAGTCTCTGCCAGAATTGGTTCTTCATTGCTGTTATTTATTAGCGCGAGTTATAGCCGAATTGGCCGCGCAATCGAGTGGAAACGAGGACGAGCTGCAAGCAGCTTGCGGCAGACTTATGTATACGACGCCCTCAAGATTTACAAGAACAAATCAGTCAAGATCATGGAATACGGGTAATGGTTCTCCGGATGCTATTTGTTTTTCAGTCGATAGACCAGGCATTCTTATAGCCGGTGTTGGTATCTATGGAGGTGCAGGAGTATATGATTATGAATTGGAATTGTTAGATGATGTAAGTAATGCACAAAAGTTTTGTCGTATTGTTTCTTTTAATTTTGAAAATTACGATACTAATTATAGTTATTTTATTATACTAGCAAAATAATACTGGTAACGATCCATCACATACTCAGCGTTGGAGTAGCTTGGATTTTACAAGAGGATCTTTTGGACCGGATGACTGTATTAATGACATAGTAGAATTGAAATTTGACAAACCGGTGCTCATAAAAGAGAATATTAAGTATGCTATTAGACTGCGAAATCGTGGAGGAAGAACCAGTAATGGTGATGGCGGCTTAAGTATTGTCAAAGGAGCAGATGGCACAACATTTACTTTTACGGCTTGTTCTTTAAGTTTTAATGGTATGTTAAGTTCTCTTATGTGATAATGTTTGCAAAAAAATGTTATAATATTACGTAATATATAAATTATATTAAATTATATTATTTAATTATATTATCGCAGGTACGACACAAACTAGAGGTCAAATACCACATATTTTATATTATTCAAATCCGCAAGATTCTGACGGACAACATACGAATAAAGCTATGGCAGAAGTGCAAGCGAGAAAGTGTACTCTTGCCATGACTGCAACAATTATTCAACGGTCAAACGAAATTTTTTCTTTGGCAAGAGAAAGAACGGAGGAAGTAATAGTTAATGAAGTTCTTGGTAATGCAACTTTTGTAACGACTCTTTTACCGCTAGTAATGGCACATATTAGTCCTTTAGCTACCTCAGATCCTAGAGTAAGTAATTCTAAAGACTTTTTTAAAATATGAATATCTTGGATAATAAAATGATAAGAAGAAAAGTATTTAATATACATTTTTCTGTACCTTTCAGAGCAGTGTCCAAATTCTTACCCTAATACAAGAGATGTTGCCACACGTTGCAGCCTTGAATTTATTGTCCACGATGGGTACTTCTCAAATATCGCAAGATAGTGAAACTCAATCACACTTTGCTCCTCCAATTACTACTAGTCATCATTATACTTGGCTAGAGAGCGAACATCCTTATAAACCGGCGACAGTGTCATATTACAAAGTCACTTTTCCGGAAACAGTAAAATGGCTGACTGTCGAATTTACTCCAGAATGTGGAACATCACAACCAGAAGATTATCTACAACTTTATATACCAAATTTGATTCCTAACTCCTCTGCAGGGTAGATAAAATACTTCCACATTTTTATGTAGCATATAAACATATGATATATTTATATTTTTATAATATATTTATATTTTTTGTTTCTATAGGACGGTTTCAAATATTACGGGAGAAGATACTCCTCTGTATTGGCCAGTATTACACAAATTGAGTAATGTTCAGAGTCAGTGGCTACAAAATGCTGTTGTGTTACCAGGTATATGTACAGCATTAATTAAAAATATATGATGCTATATAAAACATAATTTGTGCTTAATAAATTATTTGATGTTTAGGAAATGAAGTAATATTTTCATTGGAAACTGCATCTGATTATATGAAGAATGAGAGCTCAATTACATATGGTTTTAAATGCTTAGTTATTGGTTACGATTGGATAACATCCGGCCATGGTCTAAAAAATTTGGAAATCGAACTGTCTTTTCTTGGAGGAGCATGTGCTGCAAGTCTCATGAAGAAAAACTTATCGTTGCCTCCAGTGTCTTGTAAGTACAATATTGAATTTTCATTCCTTATTAACAAATGAATAGGTATTTAATATATAATATAATATGTAATATAAAATATATTTGATTAATAATATAATAAATATGTAATATATAAAAATATGTGTGCATATATTTTTTAACACGCATATGTTGCTTCTAGTTAATTCATTTTTGAAAAAAATCTTAGGAAAATCGATTTGTTATTATTTCAATCATACATATAAAAAATAATAAATGGTTTTTTTTGTAAACTTATGTACAGTATTATAATTTTCAGCGGAAGAGGTTGAAGAGGATTTGGAATCGATGCAGGAAACAGCAAAGAGGATTTTCTCCGTACATTCGGGATTACTTGGACGAGGATTTGCACTCGCGTCACCACCTACAGTTTCGCAGGCTCTCGACGGCGTGCTTCCGTACAGGTAAGTCCAATTTGATTCAATATTATTTTTTGTATTTAAATAAGAAAAGAAACTATATAAACAATAATTTTTATATATAATGGAAACTTGAAAGAATATAGTTTTATATATAATTTTTTTGTTTATTTATTATATATATATATATATATATATATATATATATATATATATATATATCTATAGAAAGAGGAAATTCCATGTCTTTTATTCACGATTAATGTATATTTATACAGTATATGGTTTCTTTTTTGTCTTGGAAAGATTGTAACGAAACAATGTTTTACTTGTTCGCCACGACGATATAAAGTGTTTTAAATTGTCCTAAATGAGGCTGTGATAAACAAGTTATAAATGTATATGACTATCTGACGTTATTCAAATATATAGTGAAATTCTGTAACTCATTAATAACAATGAGTTATCGTTACGTTACCATTGCGCAGGTATAATATATGGTATAAAAACTGCGCAATGTACGACAATGTAATGATAACGATATTTTCGTTAAGAAGTTATAGAATCTCGTTATTGATGGCATATATGAATGATGTGTTTCGGTAAAATATTGATATTAATATGTAAAATGTTTATAGATAATTTCTGATTCAATTTTACAATTTCTGACAGATATTTAGTGATTGCAATTAACCGTCGTTTGTTTGAAATTATTTTTAAAATATACTGCAAATTAAATGAAACCATTTAATTATCTCGAATGTGTACTAAATGGTATACATACCTATTAACGGGAGAAATATTAGCACGTGGTCTCCTTGGATAGATCGAGAACAATCTTAATAGGATTAGCAAATGCATTATTGGTATCGTCTTTATTGTATCTTCGGTCGTTCAATGCGAAACAAATTATACAGTCGGCGGCTGTCGTTATATCACAGTCTCACGATAATTATAACTATAAATAACATTATAAACTGATTTTGTTTACCAAAATGATATAATTACATACATATACACGCATACATAGTTGCGCATATAGTTTGCAAATATCGGACTCTGATCTTTCGATATTATTAGCGGGATGCTAATAAAACCTACCTTGGCTGAGTTTGAGTTATCAAGTATAAGAGGCACAAAAAGTTTTCCGAGGGTCAATTCTGCTTTTTCATACGCCCGAGACGAAGCGTTGCTTACCTCCGTCTTCAAGTGCTTCGAGTGCTTGGGCCTTCTGTTCAATAAATCAATTTTAATCGCACATACGCGATATATATTATAGTTTCCGACAAGCTTTATTTTATTTCTTCTTCGATAATTGGCATAGTGTCTTTTTATGATTATCAAAATATTAATTCGTGATATATGCCTCCTTTTAATTAAAGGAAAAAGGGACAGAGGGAAACGTTTATTTATTTTCGATTATGATCTAGGAATACGTTTGCTCATAATCAAGTCCTTTAAAATGCTTTTGTTACGCATAGATTAAACGCATCGAAGAATATTGGGATATACATAACGGGATGTACATTCGAAGTAGTTTTTTCGTTTGGTTTTACAAGATCACCTGTTTCACTGAAATTTTCCAGCGTTACATTATTAATATACAGGAAATTCCGGAATAATCGTAACGTTTTGATTACTGTGACTTAAGATTAAATGTAAAATTATAATAATAGTAACAACAATTTTTTTCTTATAACGTAAAATTTCATAACGCGTCTTTGCTTTAAATCAATGTATTAATAAAATAATATAACAAAAACAAATGACAAATGAATTTGTAACAGGATATAATTAAAATTTAATTACATTGTCTATTACAAATTAATTTATATTTACAGTTTACCGTCTGATAGATTTCGTTTTTTTTTCGAAAACGTACAAAACAGTAGCGGATCAACATTTTCAAGGGTTACAAGTTAATATTCCAGAAAATTTTTTTAAACAAAAAGATATAAGAATATTTTTATACAAGAAAACAGTGAAAAAGCATTTATATTATAAACATATTTGATATAATAATATATTTTAAACAAAAATATAATCAATATTTTGGTTTAATTGATACAATTATTATTTATCACAAGATATTACTATCATTTATAGCAAAATAATTGACTACAAACTTTAAAATCGAAAAGCGGAATTGAAAACACATGTTACGATTTAATAAATGATGCCATTAAATTGTAAATCCGCCACTGTTATGAGAGGATGTGCGGGATATTTTTTATTTAGTAAATTGATCTTGCCGGTTTATTTTCGTTCTTTAACATTGTTTGTTACATTACTATTAATCTTTTTCACTATAAAAATGATAGTTTTGGAACGATTTTGATATGAAAGTTTAGCGAAGAGTTTCATTTATATTTATTCGCTTTTTTCCTTGTATTCGAGAGATCAGAATTTTTTATGGAATAGACACGAATTATGTATTGTGTCCAGAAATGGCACAGTTATCCGAGCGAGTGATCATCCCAGTTTTTTGGTCCTTTCGTATCGTGATTTTCGCTCGAAACGCTCACTAATGTTTCATTAATACCGCGCTATCGCTATCGATCGATGAACTTAAAGCAACAGGAATGCGAAAGGTCAACCCAATCGCGTATCTTACGCAAGACAGCGAGTTTTAGGATTTTTTTCTACACATTACGATCTTTTCACTCTCTTCTTTCCTGCCTTCCAAGTCGCATCGCTCCAACAAACATTTTCATCTCGCTTCATCTTCTACGACGCTGACTCTCTTTTTTCTCTCTTTTTCGAAAGTTTAGATAAACTTAACTAACAGCGGCGACCGATTATCCGAATTCGCGGCTCGTTCTGAAAAAAAAAAACTTTTTAATTGCCGTGGCCGCCTTTAACGGTCCGAGGAATGACAAGAAATTGCGCAGTGGATAATCGGCGGCCGCAGGTGATATGTGAATGGAAGCTTACGAACTGCGTTGTACTAGGAGAGATAATTAATTAAATTAAAAACGAGATACGATTTCGGAGCTGCGTACATTTCGCGTTCTATTATATCCCAAGCGATAACGATTTAACGCAGCCAGATATTACGCGCGCGATTAACGTCCGAGAAATTCCTCTTTCGTTCACCGGAAGGACTCTTCTGACGTTCAACGTCGGAAAATATCGGGTATCTAAGTTTTTACGGTCACACTGTTCTTCACTGGCGCCGTCTCGCGCGGCGTCTCTCGTAGCTCTCACAGCTTGTACACTCGAAAGCGACTCGACGTTTCCGCCCACTCGAGTTCCTCTTCAACGGGAGCGACGATCGTGGGTCTCTTCGTCGAACCGCCCGGGGCGTCTCGTTACAACTCGGTCGTGAGCGGCTCGGCCTTCTCGACGATCACGTGGAACTCCGTCTCCCGGTACAATCTGCCGTCCGGTACGACCATCGTTATCCTACTGTCGACCGGCGTGCCGGACGTCGCGGCCTCCCTGCCGATCACGCCGTTCTTCTTCGAGACCACGTCGGGTGCGTTGGTCGGCACGCTGATCCATTTTTTCCTGTTGTTTTGTCGGCGCCTTCGACAGCACCAGACAATCAGACACACGCACACTATCAGGGCGAGAATAGCACCCACGATGATTAAAATGAAAACGAGCATGGAACCGCCGAGTGAGCAGTGACGTGCCTCATAATCGACGAAAGTGATCGGCGCGCCGTCCATTCCGCCATCCAGACACAAGAAGGTCTCCGGAGTTTCGTTGATGGGCTCTTGGGATTGCGATTGGGGCGGTATTAGTGAATTTTGTCTCGCATAATATCGCGAGTAGACGTTCGTGTAGTTGAGCACGTTGTTCTTCCATACGGGTAACATCTGACAGTCGCACGGTTGCGAGATGAGAAGATTATCGATTTCGGGCCGAAAGCTCATGCGATCGAACATCAGCGAGCCTTCCTCGAAGCTGCTGACGTTATTGCTCTTGAAGATGAGGTCGTGCATCGACGACGAGGACGACGGCGGCGATCTCGTTTCGCGATCCGCGCGAATGCCTAGAAACGCGCCCTCGCCGATGCTACCGAAAGTGTTGTTCTTGATGATGACGGCGCCGTGCGTCGTCACGTCGAAAGCCTCGCTCTCCAGGTTGTCGATCTCGCAATTCTGTATCGCCACCGTGCGTGGACTCCTCACGATGAAGGCGTTGCTCCTGACGACGCCCATTTTCACGCCGTCCAACATGAATTTGTGATAGACCTCGATGTCGTTCATCGTGCGACTTGGCATTTGATCGCCGAACGTGCCGCCGATCACATGCAGATAGCCGACGTCGAATTTCTTAAAGGCCTGTGCCTCCGTCGTCTCGACGCGACAGTTCTCCAGCCGCAGGTTTTCCGTGTGAACCAAATTGGCGAACGAGAAGGCACTCAGCTGGCCGATCCGTACGTTCTCGAACGTGATCGCCTCGACGTCACCGCGAAAGACGAAGCTCGGCATTACGTCGATGCTGCTGTTCCGCACGGAGATTCGCGTGCGCGTGCTGTACGACGACAATTCGAAGCTCTGCCTGACCAGAGTTAGGTTCGCCACGTTCACCAGGTCCACCGATCGCAGTCCGGTCATCGAGACTAGGCTCGAGTTCGCGAGGATCACGGATGAACAATTGCTAACCGCTATCCTACTGGTGTGCGGACTTAGCCGTCTGTCCCCCTCCGTGGTCAGGATCAATTCCTGCAAATTGAAATGATCTTTTGTATAGAAGAGCACTGGAGATGTAATTTTAATGATTACATTCGTTTCAGAAACGGAAGTATATCAATTATTGTAGATTATTTTTTATCTAAGAAAATATGAAAATGTCTAAGATATTAAAATGGATAATTTTTTTTGTCGACAATCTAATTCTTAGTATTATTAAGAAGTAAGATTGTAGTAATATTTAAGCGTAATCTGTTACAACGCAATATACTGAGTGAGTGTGAGAGAGAGAGAGAGAGAGAGAGAGAGAGAGAGAGGAGGGTAGGGTAGGTTAGT